TTAGTTCATTCTTGTTGGTTTATTTAAAGTTTTAAACATTCCATACTGTTGTATTTATCAATGTAATTAATAAAAAAAAACCGTAATAAATTAATAAGTGAATATTTAAAGTTGCTATTTAAAATGAATTTACTTTATTATAATTTAAATATTTTTTTTCAACAAAAATTGAAACAGATTGATAGAATATGAATTCTAAAGGCTTAAATTTTTGTATAAATTAATAAAAAAAATTTAACAAATACTGTACTTTTAAGTAGATGAATTATACAGTTTAAATAATTAAGAATTTCAATAACGCGAGTGACTTTTCATTAATTATAAGCTTTATTTAAATAAATATTTGATGCATTATTTCTAAAGTTGGTTCAAATTCGAATTTTATTTTGATTAAATTTTATCAATGAATACCGCGAACCGCATTAGCTAAGAATTTAAAACTCGCTTCTGCTTGTAAGAAGGGATTTTCGGTGGGAGGAAATTGGATGGTAATTAGAAATAAATACGGTTTAAAAGAATTTATTAGAGTAAAAACGTTAATAGCGTATTTGAAATAAAGTACAATTAACGGGAAAGATTATAAAATAGCTATTTTCTGTATCCTTCCGAAGAGTGACTAACAAAAAAAAAAAAAAAAATATTTCGAATTTAAGGTGGACTCCAACTTATAAAAATAAATCCGGCAACAAGTTGCGTATGTTTCCCGACAAAAGTTAAAAGTGTGTGTGGCGCCATCTGTTATCATATTTTATTTTAAAAACTTTTTATATTTTTAGCTTTTATAAAATGGCAAAAATCTTTATTTTGGGAGTAGGGATAAGTTTTATAAAAAATTGTAAATGTTAATAACAAGTAAAATCTTCATTAAGTTCGACTTCACTCGAGATATAACACACGACTCTTCTCTATATCCCCATCCCTTGACCTTTAACCACCAAAATTTAATAGCATCAATTTCCCTAAATCACAAACCTCTCTGCAAAATTTCTGAAATTTTCGACCAAAGGCACAGGAGTTATTAAACTTCGAATTGGGTAAACAAAATCGTGCTACCCGCGCGCGCACTATCATCTATACATAGAGGGAAAAAACTGAACTTTTGTTTACATTTCTTAACGTTTGAAGGTCCCCGAGTCCAAAAAACGTATAATCTTGGGGTACATTTTTTGTCCAATCGCCATACTTTCCCTCAGTTATATATAACATCCGGCAAAGTAAAAAAAGAAATTTTCAGGAAAAATGTATAATAATTAGAAGTAAATATGGTTTAATTTCTTAAGTAAAAGATTTATAATATTTTATTGTAGAATATAAAGAGGAAATACTATAAAATTTTTTATTACATAGTTATTTTTGAAAATTGACAAAGGCTATTCCGAATTTAAGAGGCATTGCAATTGTAAGTTCGAAAACGCGTGAAAAAATACTTAAAGTTTGGCCACGAAGGAAAATAAATCTTATTAATTGTAGAGTATTATAAATGATTCACGGCAGTTCAAAATTAGTTTATTCGAAGTTGTGTTACGTAAATATCATATAATGTCCAAACATATATACTATAATAACCGAATTATACACTATACGATGCAATAATACCAAATGAAGTATTGTATATTATCGCTATTAAATTGTTTTCTTGGTTATCCAAATATGGCTCGAACATTAAATGCCTTTCATGCCGTATGCTATATTTTTATGTAGTAGTAACGAAAGATATAAATAAAATGTTAATCTTATGTAATAAATCTCATTACACGTAACTTTTATTAACTCTATGGTTTATAAAAATTTTAGTTTTCTTTCACCTCTTTTTAATTACTTTAAGATTGCATTTCGGAAAAACGAAAATAAAATAGTAGTAAAATTATTTTTATAAAAAAAAATTAAAGTATATTCCACACAAAAATTATTTACTTATAATTTTAATTTAAAAGTGATAGTAAAAAATGCAAAATGTAATGTGTCAACAAATGTTATATTGCTCTTTTGTAGTTTTTGTTTATGAATTTTATATCCAGTATATTAATTATATTTTATGTTTAATTAAATTTTCTATACTTTATTAAATTATAATAGAAATTATCTTGTTAAATAAATAACGATAGTTTTAAAATGAAATGAAATTCTGTCACGTTTTAAAAGCTAACGGAAAATTACAATTTCAACATCATATTATTTTGTTTTTATCCGAATGCTAGCTCCTTATAAATAGTTTTATAATGATTGAACAACATTCCTTACAAAACTTTATTTAAATTTCATAATTTAATTTTACAAATGCACGCTAACACTTTTAATTTTCAAATATTTTTGATTCGGATAAAATGCTACATTCTTGGATCTTTGGAATATTTTGTGCTTCACTGGGCGTGCCGAAATTGTTTTAGTGCTGATTCATTTCATTCAATGTAGATTATGATCATTTAGAAGCGATATCTTGTCTCAAATTTTATATAAAAGACTATCTCCATAATTATGATTTACGCTATTAATTATAGAAAGAATTGATTTACGTGAATAGTTTTAGTTCGCTTTCGTTATAATTGATGTATATCGATTTTCTCATCGATTGAAAAGATTTTTGTAACGAAGACACGTTGTTTTTATTGCGCGACCTTGTAACGCTGTCTCAGTTAAATTAATGTAATTCTCGCAACATTTTTCTCTCCTCTATATTCCCTTTTTCCCTCCGATTTTAGATAGGACATATTTACACTCGCAGGATAAACTATAAAATATCATTTATTAAGTCAGTCACTCAAATCCTTCATTTGTTTATTATATCATCCATTCAAAATAGTTCACTACGACGGAATTTTAATGGTAATTCAACTGGTATCTTTAAATTTGCCTGTTAAAATATTGCTTTTATAACACGATTTCAAACTAGTGTTTGGTGTATTGCGAGCGATGTTCTCATCCAATCTTTTTGTTTCGTTGAATAATCTTAATCGTTTGGTTTAAATTCACATTTATTACTTTTCTTGCAAGTAAAGAAACTTGTTTTAATACCGGTTGAGTGAAATATTATCTACTTTATTGCGTGCAACTCCACGCTAGTGGCGTTGGAGCACCCCAAATAATAATCCCATTAAAATATGACAGTCGCAAACATTCTTGCATGAAGCTGGTTTTGAACTCGCGATTTGACTAACTAAGAACAATGTCTTAACACATTCGGCATAATTTCTGTTACAACAGTGTTTTAGTAAACAGAACGTGTTGCGGAGGGAAAAAAATAGCTCGTTATAGACCGTAAGATCATAATGTACTATAAGATCGACTTCGGTTTTTCCTATTACCGTGGACTTCACACGCAATGTTGAGCGGCCAGCATGAATGAGGGATTTAGTGTATAGAAACAGAGTAATGAAAATTGGTCTTCTGTTTGTAATTCTGTCGACGTTCGATATAGTAAAATATACTGTTTATAATTATTTAATTTATATTTAAATTTTAAAAAATGTTTTTAAAATTTAAGCATTTGCAAAAATTAAAATTTGAGAATTGTTTTTTAGTTTTGATTTTAAAAATTCGATATTGTTTTTATGATAAATAAATTAGATATTATAGTATTATTACGTCTCATTGAAATAACATGAAATAAATTTCCTAATAATTATAAAAAGAAAATTATAAATGTAACTTAGCTTACTTATAAATAAAATTTCGTATTTTCTTAATTTTGCTTATAATTTCTGCTTAAAATTAACAGATATGTTTATTTTTAAATATGTTGTTATATTCGTTTACTTTTTCATTATCCTCTAAGTAATATAAAGTCGAGCTAAGAATCTCGAAGGAAGATGCATTTTCATATAGTAACTTATAGGCCAAAGTGTAAATGGTAATGTGAATTTCGTACTTTCGTAATCTGAAATGAATTTGCAAAGATTAAATTTGAAAATGATAATATTTACCACAGTTGCACTCTCTGTTTTTATATAAGAATACATTTTTAAATTAAAAAAGTTGATATTTTATCATCTTTTATTATCGTTTTAGTGTAAAATGTAACTTTACATAACTCGAGGAAAACGTTTCACAAAAGTGTGGAATATTCAAAATATGCTAATATTTTGTCTCTTCCTCGATAATTTATTTTTCGTATTTTTTGTTCTAGTTGTATTGCATTTTGAATCTTTTCAATGATAGAAATTCAAGAATTTTAAGTGGATTTGTATACGTTTGAATTATAAATTTATTTCATCGAGATACGTATTATAAATCATAGATTATTTTGTTTTATCATAATGAAATGAAAGAGGACAACTATTTAAATATATTTTTCATTTTTACAGATTTAAATAAATGATTGGAATTGTTTCTCAATTGCGCTTTCATGCAGAAGAAAATATTTCATTATTTTATTTAGTATATTTGTAGTATTATAAACGTTTTTAATATATATTGTGAATATTGTTGAATAAACTATATCTTATTAGTAAGAGGACTAAATTAATTTATTTCTTAATCTTCTTATTAAATTTATAGTATCTTTAATATTTTAAATTGCTTCCGCTTAACCGAGTAAATAAAATAATTCATATTTAGGTTTTTATTCAAAATTATATGCTAACAACTAATCTGTTCATAAATATAGTAATTTAAAATAAATTTAAATAAAATTAAAATATTAATAAATTTGTTTTAATGTTTTGCAAAATTAAAATCCTATTTGTGTAAAATTTAGAATACTTTATAAGCAAAATAATTTGGTTTTTCCCTTCTTAGCTTAATTTCTCTTTATACTTATAAAAATATATTTAACTTAATTATTTTTTTATAATTTACAATAAATATAATAATTTATATACCAAACTGTACATTATATAACTTTTCAAATACAACATTAACGTAATGAAATGAAATTAATATTATAACTTACAAGTTAAATTTTTAAGGCACCGCTTTATGAATTTTGGATTTTGCATTAAATTTCAAATTTGAGTTTTGAGATATTGCGGTTTACTTTATATGTATATAATTTTAAAATTTAGCAAGAAGTCTCCGGTACCTCAGACGAGTTAACATCTCAGGAACCATCTGCGGGCACCACCACACCCACTAGCAGTGCGTCGCCCGCAGTACCCAGCACAACGTCTAACAGCACCAGCAGCAACAATATTCGCTGTACAACACCTGGTTTAAGAACCCGTGCGACTCCACCAACATCTCAAAGTCAGGGACAGTCACCTCTAAGGCCAGCACCTTCACCTACTGGTTCATCCATCTCTCCATCCATTTCACCAGCCATTGGTAAGTCCGGTATTAAACCATTTCTCAAGTTATCGAAATCAACCGAAGCGTAACTACTCGAGAAGTTCTCAAAGTTCGGTCATAAATTAAATTCGCACACATCTACGAAAATTATAACAATCGCTTTAAGAAAGGGGAATGACGACACGAGAGTACGATTTTCACACGTAACGAGTTATAAAAAAATAAATAAAACAAAATAGTAAGAATTAATAATTTTATATGTACATTTAAAGTATATTAAACAGTTATAAAATGACTAGGTATATTTATTTTACTTTGCAATATTTCGATAAGAATTTTGCTGTCATTCCGATTAGAAAGTGAAATTTTTAAAGTTTAAAAATAACGTTATCTTCTACGTGTTTTCGGCGTTGTTAGATTAATCTTTTAATTAAACCGTTTTACTCTTGACATTTTATCAATTTTATGATAGATATTAAGTAATTTTCCTTTTTTTTTAATGAGAAAAAAGTACCAATTTGATTTACAATATATGCAATTAGGCCCGTATAAAGTAAAGCATCATCTTTGTATTACGGTTAAAACATTCGATAATTTGAATCAAACGAAAGGCGTACTTTTTTAAAATACATATTTAACTTTTGAACTTAAAAGTTTGTTGATAGAAACATATCCAATCACCGCCGCAATATTCTCCTTGTTTCTGCACTCTCTTGACACGTGGAGTCCGTGAGCAGTAGCCACTGGGGCGGGCAGCGAACGATTAAACCGTCTTCAAGCATGATTAATGGTAGGTTAATGGTACGATCCGATGTCGTCATTACTAGCTGGGGGAGCTGGAGGGGTGTAGACGGATCACCTGTCATCAATTGGGGTGGCACCCGACAGTTTGTATACAGCAGACTTAATAGAGAACCCCCTCCTTCGAGCTCGTAAATCTCCATCACTTGCCCTTCTGGTAGGTGTTTTTTTTTTGTCCTACGCTTTCTCTCTCTCCTTAAGATCACATGACGGAAATCCCTAGCACGTGGTTATTCGGATGAGTCGATTTCCGACTCCGCCCATAAGAATAGTCAAGAGTCTATAACCTACTTCCTGGATTAGAATCGACAATTATTCGGCTTAACGAAACTTTTGTTAAGAGTGGATTATATTTACGGGGAACGTTAGTTTTTGAAACGTATGCTTAAACGGAAGACGGTGGTGACGAATTAAATAAATTTCCAGTTACTGACATTTTCCTGGTAACAATTTTAGAGTATGCTGGTTTAAAATTGTGAATTTTAAAAATAACAAGCGCTAAAATTAATACAGGAAAGTGTCCATTATTCTCTCCGTGTTTATTTTATTCGCGATTTTCGAGTGTAGAGAGAAATGACTAATTTATTGAACATATGCAAATTTAATTGGTTGCATTAAATTTTAAGTGTTTGTAAATTTTATATTGTTTTAAAATGTATTTATTATTTCTAAAATGAAATAATCATAAAACAAAATTGATTTATTCATTTTAATTTCTATTAATGAGTTGATTAATTTTAATTTTTTTAAACATAATTTCAATTATTACTGTTTAAATTAAAATTTAATTTTGCTTTACAATTAAAATTTTACAGTAAATTAACAAGAGGATTAAATTAATAAATCAGTTTGTTTCGTGATTATTTTAAGATGTTAATAAATGTAAATTATTTAAGTTTAATTGTAATGAGTAAATATTTGTTTTGATATAATATTTGATCTTTTAATATAATAAAGAATTAATAGGAATCCTTCAAATAATGAAAATGTTTCATATCATTTCAAACATATAAAAATAATGAGTTTATTTGGTAATGTATTTTAGGTCAACAGCAGAACATTCCCATGCCCCCAAGGCCTGCATCAAGCCAGTCAGATTCTAATGCACAAAACCAGATGAATCAATCTTCAATGGCAGCACAGGGTATGGAAAATTTAAATATGTTCCATTTAATGATTTAATCTTATAAAATTAATATGCCGGCAACGTAGCTTGCGTTTTTTTAGGGATATATTCTTTATCTTAGTTTCAATGACTAAACAATAAAATTTGTCATCTCCAATTACACACAAATTGCTTTCTGAAATTTTTATTAAATGTAATTTCATAAATATTTATATAACATATTAAATAAAATTAATATAAAATTAGTTTTTCAATTAATAAAGAATATTTTGTAATTAAAATTTTAAAATGTATTTTTTGAGTCAATGTTGATTAACCTTGATATTTGTCTCGCTGTACTTGCAGTAAAAACTGAAAATGTTGCTATTACGAAGCAATGTTTTCAATTTTTACTAGCAAGTTATGATATAATAATTGAATAGTAATAGTATTTATTTAATATTCTAATCTATTAGATTTTAGGTTTTTATAATAATTTTCAATTGTGACAGTTTTTACATAACAATTGTTCATGTAATAACAAATCTGTAATATGATATATATACAGGGTGAGTCAAAATTATGTGAACACTATTTGAGAGAAAGCATTTACTCAAAGTTTGCGTTATACAGAGTCTCGACCTGACCGCCGGCACGATTAATGCACTCGAACCGACGTTCGACGGTACAATTTAGTGCCAGAAAACCGGAGATTTGGGAGGCCGTAACAACTGTCCGTTACGACCAATCGGAATAGAAAACAAAACAAAATTAAGATGTTTCATTAATAATGTTTAATTACAAATTAAGATTGTTCACATAATTTTGAGTCACCCTGTATAACTGTCAATTATTATTATTATTATTATGTTGGGTTTAGTAGGTAATACTCGGTTTAAACCGGTGGCTGTGTACTATGTCGGACCAGAGTCAAGGCATAGCAACCAAAACAAAACTAAAATTAAATGTGTGTGTCAGTGTCTGTATTAAGGAATTTCCTAACAATATGGCATGTATTCAATATAGCGGCCTTCTGTAGTGTGATGTATGTATTTCTACTCAATTGTAATGTTCCCAGGCTTTTGTGTAGCATGTGTGGTATCACACCTGTACAGGAGAGAACAACAGGTACAATAACTACCCTATCCATCCTCCACAGATGCCTTATTTCCTGGGCAAGTTCTGTGTACTT